AAAATAAATAAATAAATAAATAAAGTTAAATAAAAATTATTCTTTTTCTAAAAAAAGTAACACAGAGAAAATTTTCTTTTTCCTTTTTTTTTTTTTTAGTTTTTGTTATAGTGCCTGTGTGCTCACCAGAGAAAGGAAAAGTGAGAAAGAGAAAGGAAAAGTGAGAAATCATCCCCTGCGGGGATTGAACCACATCATAATCCCTTCATTCTGCTCTCTGGATTTTGGGCACACACATACACACACACACTCTCAAATAGCTAGGTCAGGGACTCAAATTGTGCAGTTGGTCGCCTTAACTTAACCTTCACACCACCTGCTGGCCCTATCTCACACACACACACACACACACATACGCACACATATTTCTTTCATGAGCAAGACAGAGAGAGAAACAGACCCACACACACACACGGGGTTTCAGCACACCGCTATCATCCCCCCGGTTTTCCAGCCAACCAAAATCAAAGGCGGGCCTGGAGTGTGTTCAGGTCATCCTAGGAGCCAAATCCTGCACCTTCCCATATGGTTCCAGCCTCACCCAGCCTGCACCCTACCGCCTGCACCACCTCTCTGGGCCAAACTTACAACTACTTTTTAAAGATCTTGATTGGCTTTATTTCTCCTCGATTTTGTTTTTGCTTTGTTTTGTTTGCTAGAGGACACATGCACTCACCAGAGAAATAGCAAGACAGGGAGAGTGAGAAAGCATCCCCCACAAGGGGCCATGCTGCTATCTCTCCTCCTCTGTGTCTCCATCCTGCCAGAATTTAGGACATGCCTCAGAGTCTGGTCATGCCCTGGTCCCCTTCTTCCTATCAGATTTTAACTACTTACATATTGGCATATTTTAGGCTGACTAGACCAGAGAGTCGAACCATGTTGCCATGTGGAATCCAGCTTCTCCTGGGCAGCACTTTATCGCTGTGCTGTGAAACTGGCCCAGAACACCAGTCTGTTTTAATACATGAGCTGCTGCCTGATTCTAGAATTGCAAATAAAAGCCAATTAAGGCACCAGCTCAGTGGCATAGCAGTAACATGCTATGCACTGGATGCCGGATCCATAGGGAAATCTGAGGTCAGCCCTTGTTGACTTGTAAATGCCAAGTGTTCACATTCATGATCTCCTGGCTGGCTGGGAAAGCTGGAGGGTGAATTGTGATGTGAGACTTTTTTTTTTTTAAAGAATTATTAATTTAACTTTATTTATCATTATTATTATTATTTTAAAATTTGCTACAGGGCACACGCACTCACCAGAGAGAAAGAGAGAAAGAGGGGGTGGGGATCGAAAAAGCATGCCACTAGGTCTGGGACTTGAACTACAGTCAGCCATGTGGGAGTTCAGCACCTTAACCACCCACCATGCCAACAACTAACCCCCATGAGAGTTTATTGAGGGTTCTTGTCCCCCACTGTCATGAAAGAAATACACTTGAAAAGAAAAAATAAATAAAAAGCCAGGCCAGCCACATTGCCTAGGGGAAATAGAGGAAAAGTTGTAGTGCGACTATGCCCAATGGGGAATGTTCGCTCGCTCTCTGACAAGTACATGTGCCCTCTTGGCGATGACAATGACAAAGAATTAAATAAGATAATCCATGAGTTAATACAGTAAAAATTTAGCCCACTGCCTAGCGTATATTGAGCACTCAATACATGTATGTGTTTAGTTATTGCTAATATTATTATTGCCAGGGCCGGCAGGTGGCATGGTGGTTAAGGCACTGGACACTCCCACATGGCTGACCATGGTTTGAGTCCTGGACTTAGTGGCTTACTTTCTCATTTTCTCTCTGGTCAAATTAAAATAGATGAATAAATAAATAAAATTAAATAATTATTTTTAAAAATATTATTATTGCCAACCTTTTTCTTTTAAGACAAGTTTCTGTTATAGGGTGCCTGTGCTTACCAGACAGACAGAAAGCAAGAAATCACCTCCCGGGGGGATGGCCATGCCACAATCCATTCTCTTCTATTCTCCTCTTGAGATTTTTGGGCATGCATTTACATGTGACTGGTGTGAGTTTTAGGTTGCTGGGTCTGGGGCTCAAACCTCAGTCAACTACGTGGGAGTCCAGTAACGTAACCATTACGCCATCTGCTGATCCCAATTACTGCAAACATTTCCAGAACCCCAGTTCCTTATGACAATCTTAATTCACTCCCACCTACCTCCTACCTCTCTGCTAAAACTGTTCTTTGTAAAAATATTTTACTAACCTGTGATAATTGTCATCATGTGGGGATACAATATGCTTTTACAGTGCAAGAAAACAATGTGTAATGATTCATTCAGAATAATCAACATATCATCTCAACCATTTTGTCATTACTTATGCTGGGAACATGAAATCCTCCTGTTTAGTTACTTTGAAATACATAGTAAGTTGTTACCGTCTATTTTCTCCCTACTGTATCTTTTTTTTTTTTTTTCAAAACATTTTGAAGAATTATTTATTTAACTTTATTCGTTCATTTTTTTTTAATTTGGCCTGAGAAAGACAGACAGAGAAGGTAAGAAAGCAAGCCACCAGGTCTGGGACTCAAACTGTGGTCAACCATGTGGCTTAACCACCACGCCCCCACTGGTTCTCTCTACCGTATCTTTTTTTTTTTTTTTTTTGGAGGGGTTTTTCGCTATAGGGCGCGTGCGCTCGCCAGACAGACAGAGA